ACTAGTGGCTAAAATTCAACCGCAACATGTCACGTCACGCGGTCGGTCTCTTCTCGCTTGCATTCTTCCCGCGCCGTTTCCTCCCGCCCCCCTCCCGCCCCGTTGATTGGTGCCGTATCTAGACTATTTTTGGGCCCGCTGTCTCCTCGTTTGATGGCTCGTTGTCGGCTGGCCTTCTCCTCGCCCTTGTGCCAAGAGGCCATAAACCTCTCAGCTCCCTGTAGCACCCCCGCGTGCCACGGTACCCCCCCCTCCACCTTCGCCGCCTCGTCCCAGTCTGGCTTCAGGATTCCGAAGAAGCTCCGCTTGTCGGGCGTGGAGCCGTGTCTGGCTTCGAACATCTTCAGGTCGTCCTTCAGGCATATCAGCCAGTTCTGCTCCGGGCTTCCCCGGCCCGGGTTCTCCCCTCCCACCAACTCGCCGAACATCAGCCGTTTCGGAAGCCGCCCGTCTAGCGCCTGGGCGTATGACAGCTGCCGGTAGGTGCCTCGCTTGCGCCGGTAGCCGATAACTCGCAGAAGCAGACGGTGGTGTGTCGTCTGCAGCAGCCGGTAGTGGTCGCGGCGTGGGGACCATGTCATGCAGCCGTATAGCAGTGCCGCCACTGCCTCCGCCTGGAGTAGGCGGGCCTTGAGGCGAAACGGTGCTCCCGGTCGGTCGAATACCTCCGTGGCGTATCGCCTAATGCACGCCCACGCTGCTTTGCTCCTGTGGTTGATCTCTCGGGTGAGGTCGCCCTGCTCGTTGATGAGGCCGCCCAGGTATCGGAACTCGGTCGTCTGTGCGTACCTTTGCCCCGCTGCTTCGATGGTCAGCGGCGGCGGTGGCGGCGGCGGCGGTCGCTGTTTCTCCTTCACCCGCATCACCAATGTCTCCGTCTTCCTCTCCAACACCGTCAGCCCGAACTCCCGGAACACCTCCACGATAATGGTCATCATCCTCGCCAGGCCGTCGGCGGACTTGGACACAACGCCGGCATCGTCGGCATATGGCATCCTCCACATCGCCCTCCGAACTCACCGTATTATCTGAGAAACGCAGCAAGCCATATTTCCGCGAAAAACTAACATAATGAGAGAGAGGTCTGAGAAAACGTAGCTCTCAGCGGTGGATCCTACACTACTGAAAAGCGGTGTAAACTCTCTGTATAACAACCTGTACTGTGTGCTCGACAGCAGCGGAAAAACCGATGACAACAAGAAAAAACTGAGCCTCGACCCCATTTTGACCTTATCTGGGTGCGGCCCATGTGCAATATAGACTAACGTCACGTTGGAGTATCTTTTTTTGTTCCGACCATCCTCACCACGCATCCGCCACATCTATTCCGCCATTCAGTCTTCTCCCAAACACGCATTTCTGCGGCTGGTGTCGAGGAAGAGCGCGTGCCGGTAGGTACATTGCACGGGACTGCTGCTGGCGAGGTGCACTGCTGGCGTTCAAACATGAGCACCCATTTATTATGTACGTGCGGATGTTCTATGTACATGGTACAACTGTAGGAATAATGTGTGATGTCGGCGTGTTTCTTCTTCGTATGCATACATGCCGTGCATGTTGTATCCCCATGTAGTAGTCTATGCATGGCGATATGCATATTCTATGCGTGACGACGTTCCACCTATCCTGGCTAGTCCATAGCTAATCCCAACGCATGTCTACACCTTTTGGTCCCACTATTCCCTCCCTATGGTGCTTCGATTGTTCTGGCCAGAAAAGGGTTCAGCCGTCCCGTTCCGCGTGTGCGTGTTTCTCACACTCATGAGTCGAGCGAAATGTCAACTTCAACCGCCGACTTTTAGATCAATCTTCCCGAATCCCTACAGGTAGATACATAGACTATACAGCAGTAGACCTACCGTAGACAACAGTACTGCTGTAAGTACAGATAGTGCATACGTACCGAGATGCTACCCACTGCTGTAGTGTCTGCGGGGGCCTCACTGGTGCTCAGAGGTACGGGTTAGGCACCGATCACAACCTGCCTGCAAGGGTTTTGTGGGGAGGTGGGAGGCCGGGCTTGGCTGTGCTGCCACTTCTAGCTGCCAGTCCGGCGTGTTATTTTTATCGTGGGGCAAACGCCACTGCTGTCCGTGACGCGGATTATTTGCTAACTCAGGTTGCGCAAGCAGTATCGGTGCACAAAACCTATCCATATCAATACCCACAACAACTGATCTCTCACCACCGGTGCTTCCTAAGCCATGCATTGGACTGGATCCATCACTTGCCACGGGCACGATTCCGCTCCACAACCCCCAGATGGCCTTGTTTCTGCTTGCGTTGTGAAGTACCAAGATTGAATCAAGGGGGTGCACATCTACCTCCTCCCCTCCCCGGCCTGCTCCCCGGCCGGGGCCGAAATCGACCTTGTGAGTCCCTCGCGGGCGAACCAGGCCACAACAGATAGTAGGTGGGTGGTGTCCCAAGGTGCAACTCACCGCCGCGCTGGCTCAGCGTGGCGGTGAGGATGCACAGACGGTGGTAGTGGCGAGAGGTGTATGTGGACCTTGTCCCCGCGGCAGCAATGCAAA